GCTAATTACGAATCTGAACTCGGATTTTGAAAAAGTCGAATCCCGAACCCGAATTCGGAATTTGACTCCGGACATTGTTGGACATTGTACAAAATGGTCAGTCCTTCATATGTTGGTAGAACTCATCGAGATGCATCGAATGACACCAAAATCGATGAAATCCGACGTGGCTGGACCGAGATACAGACGCCGGAATATTAAAAAATCATAGGGGTGATTTTTTGGAGTAAAAAAAGTTTATACACATGATGCCTCATTCGAAAGAGCTCGTCGAGCTGAGTCGAATGACACCAAAATTACAGTGATTCATCAAGTTTTGACAAAGTTATGACATAAGTCGCCGACTCCTACAGTACTACCATAGGTATACTTTATGTAATAACTTTGTCGAAACAGGTCCGATCGCGTTGATTTTGGTGTCATTCGATGCAGCTCGACGAGCTCTTTCGAACGAGCTATCATTTGCTTATTCGAAATCCGGGTTCAGGGTCCGAAATTCGGTTCGGGTTCGGGTTCGGGATTCGACTTTTTCAAAATCCGAGTTCAGATTCGTAATCAGCATATTTTTTACCCTAGAAAAATCCTTTTTCTTATTTTTAAACTTTTTTTCGAAGAAACCCCAATTCTCCTGGATTGCCAAAAAATCAAATTTAAATTTGAGTAAATACTGAACGAAACTGCAACAATATTATAAATTGAAAATACATATAATTTCCTAAAAATAATAAAATATGTACATAATTGTTATTTATGTATATATTCCTATTTAGTCTGATGTAAATCTAGAAAACCCAGTGATTAAAGAAGTTGGAATAAATTTGTTTGAAGTTGAAGCGCAAATAGATTTGACTATACGAATATGTGAAAATTATGTTTGGCTATCATTTTACATTGATCCTTCAAGAAAATTGTTTCAAAAGTTTTGGCCAAAAAATTGGTGGGAAAAAAATTATTTTAAAAAATCTGAACTCAAATTGTTAATTGATGGCAATTTTATCATGGCCTCTCCTTTATATAATAATGTGCTTTTGGACATGGATGTACGTAATGCCGAACTTAATTGATTATTATATTATATCCCATAATTATTGAAAAAACTTTTTCTTATTAAATCTTTTATTTCTAAAATATAAAATAGAATGTCCTCTTTCAGAAAACATTGAAAATATTTCGTTTAATAAATCTTTACTTTTCAAAAACCTCTTTACCGTATGCATACCCAAAATAGAGGCGGAAAAAAGTATTGCACCAACATGTATAACTTGTTGTTTGTTTGACCATAAATTCTACAAAAATTTCTGTGAACATTTCCATTGATATTGAGTAGAAAAGAAAAAAGAACAACGTCTGAAACTTATTTCTTCATCGAGATCTCAAGTCACAAAAAGCAACGGGAAATGGGTTTACAGTACTTTAAAAAATTATTTAACTCTCCAGAGCTTATATAGAATTTTTCTTTTAGGCTCATTCGAAAGCCCTTGAAATTTGCTACAAAATACCTGCTGGCCTCATATGTGTAAAAAAGTTTGTTAGGAAGATAAGGAGCATAGAATTAAAAAAATTAAGAATAGGCATTTTATGTGGTAGTTTAAGTGATTCTGAAGACATTATGAATTCATTCCATCTTATCTCCTAAATAAATTCTTTTACACATATGAGGCCAAGAGGTATTTTGTAGTAAATTTCAAGGGCTTTCAATTGAGCCTAAAAGAAAAATTTTATATAAGCCCTGGGGAGCTAAAATATTTTTTAAAGTACTGTAAGCCCATTTTCCGTTGATTTTTGAGGTTCGAGATCTCGATGAAGAATGAAGTTTTAGACGTTGTTCTTTTTTCTTTTCTACTCAATATCAATGGAAATGTTCACAGAAATTTTTGTAGAATTTATGGTCAAACAAACAACAAGTTATACATGTTGGTGCAATACTTTTTTCCGCCTCTATTTTGGGTATGCATACGGTAAAGAGGTTTTTGAAAAGTAAAGATTTATTAAACGAAATATTTTCAATGTTTTCTGAAAGAGGACATTCTATTTTATATTTTAGAAATAAAAGATTTGCCAAGAAAAAGTTTTTTAAGAAATTATGGGGTTTTAAATAAAAAATCACTGCTTGGTGCAATACTTTTTTCCGGCACTTAACAAGTTTGAAAATATTTAAATGAATTCTTTTGTGATAATTAGAGGGCGGATTTTGACTCTATATGACAGAAAGGACGGCGTCCAATTTTTTCAATATTCCTAAATATATTTATTTTTCTTACATGACTCAGACATACAAAACACGGACTGACTCGTACAGACAAAAACGGACTGACTCGGACAGATAAAACACGGACGGGCACGGTCAGTAAAAGCATGGATACCCACGGGTAGTTAATCCTTTCGCGTTGGTTGCCATAAGGCATTAATCAAAAATAGTGAGAAAAATATAAGAAAAATGAATATTTTTAGGAATATGGAAAAAATTGGATGTCGCCCTTCCTTTCATATAGAGCCGGAAAATGAGTTTGTTTTTCGATTGTTTTTCGTTGTTTCGACTAATACTAAATTAATCAGCTTACAAATTAGGGTCACGATAAAATGTTTGATATAAATGAAATGCCATATTCAGTCAAGATTAATGAGTGTACAAGCAATCATAGTTTTTTTCGTTTTCGTTTTAAATTATATCATGGAGCAAAAAATTTTATTATAAAATTATTGAATAGTATGGAAGAAGAAAATTCTTATTGTAATTATTTAAAATATATTTATTTTTCAATTTAATAATATTTAAAGTTGGAACAATCGTTTATAGCCTTATGGTTGATGTTAATTTAAAAAATATAGCAATTAAAACAAAAAACGTAAGTAAATATAGACTGCAAAAATGGGCTTATTTTTTTAGCACTTCAATATTAGGCGGCTGTAGTATAGTATACCGGTGGAAAGGTTTCGATATAAGACCCATAACATTCGATTCATCTCGGCGAGCTGAGTCGAACGGTACCACTCTTTTTTTCCGGAGATGCCTGTGGGCCGAGATATAGGTACCCGAAAATCGAAAAACATGGGGGGGGGGGGAGTAAGCACAATTTTGGGGTGAAAAATTCGATATTTCAAGTGATAGCTCATTCGAAAGAGCTCCTCGAGCTGAGTCGAATGACACCAAAATCAACGAAATCTGATTTGATTAGACCGAGATACAGACCTCTGAAAATTGAAGAACTACAAGGGCGAATTTTGGATAAAAAATTCGAATATACAAATGATAGCTCATTCGAAAGAGCTCCTCGAGCTGAGTCGAATGACACTAAAATCAGCAAAATCAGACTTGATTTGAGAAAGATGACTGTTTGTTTTAGCTCCTTACCTATTCCATCTGTTGAGTGGTTGCTGCTGCGGAGGAAACCGGGCAAGCCCACTTCATCGATAATATGAATAGGATTAAGTTACGAGCCCAGACCCAGCGCCCTAGACTCCTCGCGAGGCGCGTGCCGCAAAACCCCGCGCGAAGCGCGGGGTTTTGCACAAGCGCCTCGCCGACGCTCCATAGGTTTATGTTGACCATTTTGAACCTCTTTATCTAGGCTCAAAATCAAGATCTCGAGCTCATTTTGGTGTCATTCGACTCAGCTCGAGGAGCTCTTTCGAATGAGCTATCACTTGAAATATCGAATTTTTCACCCCAAAATTGTGCTTACTCCCCCCTATGGTTTTTCGATTTTCGCGGACCTATATCTTGGCCCACAGGCATCTCCGGAAAAAAAGAGTGGTACCGTTCGACTCAGCTCGCCGAGACGAATCGAATGTTATGGGTCTTATATCGAAACCTTTCCACCGGTATACTATACTATATCCTATTAGGCGTTTATTAAGGAATAATACCTAAAATATAGTTAAATTTAAGTGTACTACATGCAGTAAAACAATTTTTGCAAGAGAAGGTTGTGGCTGTAAAAACTTTACTTCAGATATATTTGCAAATGGAAAATTATTTGAAGTTTCTTTAAATATTACTGGCGATATAAACAAATCAAAATTTTATCTATCTGTTAATGGTAGATGTTTAAAAAATTTTACAGTAACAACTAATTCTCGTATTTGGGAAATTAATAAATTATTGGTAAGTTCTAAATTTACAAAAATCATTTTAATATAAAAGTTAGGATTGACGTTTCAAATAAATTAGGTCAGGTCACAAAGTTAATTTTAAGAAACTAAAAACTATAGTGGATTTTGCAGTGGATTTTGCAGACAAAAATTTTGAGAATTATAAGGCAAAATATCTCATAGATGTGTATTTATTTATATTAACGCTAATAAAAAGTTATTAATAGTTAAATGGCGATATTCAGCTTTTAGAACATGATTATATTCCTAATGAACAACCATATTTGATTCATAGAAAAAAGATAAATGAATTGAAAAGATATGGAACAATCGTTTGTTTTGAGGCTTTGGCACCAACTGCTAAAGAAATGAACAATAGCATATATAATTTTAATCTACAATTAATTCACGACCCTCAAATTGCAAATACTTTTGGTAAAGTTACTAATAAACTACCTATCTTAAATAAATACATACTATGTTAAATAATTATGATTTCCGGCTCAGGATATACGGATTCGAAAAAACCTGATAAAAATTTTTGGTTCAGATATTGAACGAGATCCGGGGATCTCCCAATATCCGCCAACCTTATGAATAATGAGCGGTATATAATGTACCGTATTTTTCCAAATAAAGCCCCATTCTCAATTAGAGCCCCATTCTCTAATACAGCCCCAGTCTGGAGGATGGTTGAAAAATAGAGCCCCATTCCTTATTAGAGCCCCACTCCCTAATAAAGCCCCAGTCTGGAGGATAGTTGAAAAATACAGCCCCATGGGGCTGTATTTGGAAAAATACGGTATAGTATTTACTTTAACTCAAATTACAGTATTCTCATTTAAATGTAGTTCTGTTTAATATTGTTCTGTTTAATATTTCTTATTTACTAAGATGTTGACATTGTGATGGAAATAAATTTTATCTTTAATCTTCTTGGGCATAGTAATATGGGAACTGAACATCTTAATGATATTCTTTCGAAATTAAAAATAAGCTCTAAAAGAAAAACTGTTGAAAAGAATCAAAATATAAAATACTACGCAAATCATATTGGACCTGGTATGCCTATAGTTGTGTTAATTAAAGCTAGTGAGAATTATAACTACACAATTAATATTAATGGGGGCGATGATATATACTATACGTCTATATTTCCTTCTTGGGCAATAAATCGTGTTGAGGTATGTGTGTTTTTTGAAAGTTTTATCAAACTAAATATTTTTTGGCATCCTTATAAAGCAACATAGTTTGGTCAGAAATGATAAAAACATTCGATCCATCAATTATTTTTTAGCTCGACTAGGTTTCCGCAAATGACTTTTTCTGATAACGGTACCGGTAGTACCGAAAAATATCGGTCCAGTACTTTGCTAGTACTGAACTGTGCCGAACACTAACCCTCACCTCATTCGGGAACTGGGTTCGGATATTATTAACAATTAAAGGGGGTAAAACATGCAAATGCATATTTTGTATGCGGATATGCTATGAGCTGAAACGCTCAAAAGTGGTGTTTTTACGTTGGTAGTATGTACATTAGGGACTAGTGATGTTCTGGTATCCCGACACCCGACTCGGGAAATTTCCCGAGTTTTTGGCCTCCCGATCCCGACTCCCGATGCCAATTCCCGACTAAGTCGGGAAATTTTTACACCACTAAGAATTGCTTTTTCTCATAAAATTTTATTTTTGAAAGGAAAAAATAAAGAAAAAAAATATAAAAAAAGAAAGGAAAAATAAAATATTTAAATTTTTTCCCATATAACTATTGTTGAGACGTGGTTGAGTGGTTAAGTTGAGTGACTTCAGTTGTTTTGTTAAGACTGGGTTCGAATCCAGGGCTGGTAAATATTTTTAAATAATTTTTCCACCCAAAAATAAATGGTTTTAACATTGATTTTGATTTTAAAATTTTAAAGTTATTTTTTTCAATACTATAAACGTCAAAAAATTCCAGAAATATTAAGTTAGTCATGAATTTTCAAAAATTTTCGCCTGCGGCGCAGAAAATGAAAAATATCTGACTTCTTAGCAGTGATGGGCAAAGTTCCAGTTCCAGTTTCGGAACTAATTAGTTTTAGTTCCAGTTCCAGAACTAGAACTACGGAACTAGTAAATGCTGGAACTAGCTTTGGAACTAGTTCTGGAACTAGTTCTTGGGGGTATACAGTGGTGGAAAAAAGTATGGAAGCAAGAGCTTAAAAAGTAAACTTCCTTAATTTCCTCGACGTACGAACCCTAAATCATTTTTTGTCTATTATAAATTTTAAAGTCCTATCGATTACCTCTAAAATGAGTATAAATAGAAACAACTTTTATCGAGTATTTATTTTTTTATAATTGACTAAAGTAAACAATGTAAATTTTGAGCGGAAAAAAGTATGGAAGCAAAACCTTTTTTTATTTAGATATAACAGGGCTCCGATCGACAAAATGCCACTCAAAAGTATCAAAATCTTGTAAAAAAAGTACATAGGGAGAAAATTTGCAAATAAAAAGTACACTCAAAATTAAATTTGAAAATATTTATTCGTGATCAATCTTTTATATTTCTCTCCTAAATTAATCTTTTCTAATAATTTCTTGTTTCAACTGAGCATTTTGTGCATTTCATTGCATGACATGTCAAAATTTGCTGTCACATGAAGCAAAGCTCTGACAGTCTTAACCTCAAGCGAGTTTCTTTCCTTCGTCCATTGAATGTTTGCCATTGAGAAGCGCCGCAGGCGAAAATTTTTTGAAATTTGGAGCCTAAGAAGCCAGATTTCTTCTTTTTCAGCGCCGCAGGCGAAAATTTTGAGAATTTTGGAGGTCCTTAAGCCAGATTTCTTCCATTTTTTGCGCCGCAGGCGAAAATTTTGAGAATTTTGGAGGTCCTTAAGCCAGATTTCTTCCATTTTTTGCGCCCAGGCGAAAATTTTGAGAATTTTGGAGGTCCTTAAGCCAGATTTCTTCCATTTTTTGCGCCGCAGGCGAAAATTTTGAGAATTTTGGAGGTCCTTAAGCCAGATTTCTTCCATTTTTTGCGCCGCAGGCGAAAATTTTGAGAATTTTGGAGGTCCTTAAGCCAGATTTCTTCGTTTTTTCAAAAATGTTGATAAAAAAGTACATACTTTCAAAAAAGTACAAATTCAATTTCGGAAGTACGAAGGTCGATAAAAAAGTACAATACTTTTAAAAAAGTACGAATCGGAGCCCTGAGATATAATAAAATATGCCCAAAACTAAATATCTTTCAACTCCTGTTAAGAAGCTGATAATAAGAGCAAAAGAGCAAGGCAAGACCGATAGAGCGGTTGCATTAGATTTCAACGTTAGCTACGGGACTGTATCCAAATTGTATAAGCGTTATCGAGAAGAAGGTTTTCGCATTTAAATACCCACTAAAGGTTTTTCCCTATTAGGACACGTTCACAGACATGCAAAACCTGGTAGACCACGTAAAACTAGCGAATGGCAAGATCGGTCGATGGTTCGCTTAGTCAAAAAAGATCCAATGGCAACTTCAAAAGACGTCGTAATGGTGGTGAATATGTCCGTAGGCCTCGAAACAAACGTTATGATCCAAAATACATTAAAACAACAATGAAATTTGGCGCTGGTAGTGTACTTGCATGGGGTAAACAGATTTTTAAGTGAGGTTGAGTAAGGTCATTTTTATAGGATGTTTTTCGAGAGATTCTTTGGGTCCACTAGTCCGGATTAATGGCATAATGGATGCGCCTATGTATAGAGATATCATGGAAGAGCACATGTTGCCGTTTGCAAATGATCGGATGTGCCAGGGTTGGATTTATCAACAGGACAACGACCCTAAGCACACATCACAACTAATGATGGGTGCTGTTCGGCGTCTTCCAGATGGCCGAAAAATTCGATTACCTGGCTGGTTCAGTTTAAATGGTGTTCGTCTTTTCAAGTGGCCCCCATGCAGTCCAGATATAAACCCAATCGAACATTTATGGGGTCTGATCAAGCAGAAATTGAGGGGTCAAAGGTTCAAAACCAAGGATGAACTTTGGGAGGCAGTTGAGATAGCATGGAATTCAATTCCAATTGATAATTTGATTTCACTTGTTGATTCGATGCCCCGTCGTATTAATGCAATTATCCTTTCTAAGGGTGGCCCAACAAAATACTGAAATAATACTTGAAATTTTTTTGCTTCCATACTTTTTTCCGCTTAAAATTTACATTGTTTACTTTAGTCAATTATAAAAAAATAAATACTCGATAAAAGTTGTTTCTATTTATACTCATTTTAGAGGTAATCGATAGGACTTTAAAATTTATAATAGACAAAAAATGATTTAGGGTTCGTACGTCGAGGAAATTAAGGAAGTTTACTTTTTAAGCTCTTGCTTCCATACTTTTTTCCACCACTGTATATGCTAGTTCTTGGGGGTATATTTTTGACAAGATTCCCTCCAGGGCTGTGCGCCAAAATTTTCGCGTGGCGCGCCAAACGCCAATTTTTTTAATTTTAAAAACACGCCAAACGCCAAAAATCGGCCAAAATCAACGCCAAAACGCCAAAATTTTTAGAGTCTATAAAGACTTAAAAACCACTGTTCATCTTATTTTAGCGCCGCAGGCGAAATTTTTTGAATTTTCAAGATTCCCAGAAGCCAGAATTCATCCTTTTTTACCGCCGGAACAAAATTTTTGAAGATTTAGGAGGCAAAGAAGCCGAAATTCATCCTTTAAAAAATTTAAAAAAATAAGAAATTCATAGAACTCCTTGAGATTAAGGTGGATATGAAGGGATAAAGGTTGTAATGAGTATAACAGAGGTCATGAAGAGAGTAAACGATTGACGGGACTAAAGTTTTTTTTCTATACCATCCTACGACCTTAGAAATTCTCAAAAATAAAGGACGAAGTCTGGTTCTTAGCCTTCGACTTAAGAAAATTTTCGCCTGCGGCGCGGACAAAGGATTTTAGATTGTTAAGAGTGATCATAACATCGATGGCGTATCCAGGAGGTTAGATGTCTGGCTTCCTGACTTTCCAAAATTCTCAAAATTTTCGCCTGCATAGCAAAAAATTGGTATTTTTGTCGCCGAAGGCGGAAAAATTTTTTGTTGTAAATTCCCGACTCCCGATCCCGACTCCCGAGGTCATTTCCCGACCCGACTCCCGTTTCCCGATTCCCGAGTTTTTTCTTCTCCCGAACATCACTATTAGGGACCCGGTTTCTATAGCATATTTTTGCATATTTTTCCACTCATTAATAATTAATAAAAAAAAATTTCTAGATAACGGGCTTAGAAAATAAAGTTTTATTTGACGACTATTCTGAAAAATGTGAAAGGCTAACATCCAAGCTCATCGAATTTAAATTGGATAACAAAACCCGAAAAGTAGAAAAACGTTTAAATAGTACAAGCGAAGTCTTAATTAGAGGAAATATACCAAACCCTTTTAATAAAACTATCAACGTAAATTTTCTTCATGCAGCTCTTGAATGGAACTATACATGTTTGATTTTATATTTTAAGCTTTATTACCGGAAGTACTTTATGATATGAAAAAAATACTTTATATATTATATATATATACCGGAAATACTTTATAAATACTTTATGTATATACAAGTTAAACAGATAATGTTAGATGGAATTAAAATAATACTCAGATTTATAGTTGTCGGTTTTATCTAATTTTTTGGTTAACTTGAGCCGAACTATTTGGTTAAGATAAACAAAAACTAAGGGGTTTCAGTTCCCCAATCGTATTTATTAAAAATAAAAATTCGAACCCTTCAGAAAGTATCCTTAATTTCGTATTTTATTTAGTAGGCAACACAATCTTTCAATTGAATATTACAAATAATTCAATATGCGTAGATTCATATACGGTAGATTAAATTTTTGATTAATTCGAATTCATAATATTTAGAATGGGCGTTGGATAAAATTGGAAAAGAAACATACTTATATATACTCTGATCATCAAGAATTGATGGATGGAAAAAGGATAGAATTAACTTTAACTTTTCCGACCTCCTTGAAGCTTTTGTACATTTTAGAAACAAAAGACGATGTTATTGAAGGAGAGGTTGAGTTGGATATACCTGTAACGTTAACACAATATATTCAAGTAAGAATATAGTTTCTAAAAATGTCTGAGACTGAAAATTTCCCAAGACTTAGTCGAAAAGGACCGATAAATTTTAGGAAAATTTTTTGAGCTTCAGGATTAGACAAAGAGTCTTCTACCTCCTTTTAGTACATAATTAAAGCAAATTTAAATATTTTCAGGTGAAGAACCTAGAAAAGGATGTTGAGGCTGAATTAATATCTATAAATTAAAATATTAAAATTTATTTAAAATTTAATTCCGAATTTAACAATATTTTTTGTATTTTTATATATTCCGTTTATATGTCATTACTAGAGACCGGATTTTTATGCAAATGCATATTTTTTTTGCATGGTTGTCATGATGTATAATGCACAAAAAACACTGTTTCCGCATGTTTTGAAAAAACTAGAGGGGGTTTCTATTTGCATATAATGCATATTTTTGCATATTCCGGACTTTGCTGCATAAATGCATATTTTACTGCATATTTTGAGGCTTTTGGGGAAAATAACTCGAAAATTGCCCAAAATCCTGCCAAAAATTGAAAATTTAGTAAAAATTTAGGAAAAAATTTGTAAAAAATACAAATTTTGTAAAAAAAATTTTTTTTGTTCTTGGGCAAGACCCAAAAATGTATCACTCCAAAATGTCCCACCACCAAAACGTCTCATCCCAAAATGTCCAATAGATTAAAAATACTCAATTTGTGGGACTATACATTTAAAATGAGAGTAATCTTAATAAAAATAGGTGTTTTAATGTTTTTGATTCAAAAAAATTAAAAATTCTAGGTAAAAATTGTATTTTTGCTGCATAATTTCGTGAATATTTTGGTTTATTTGCATAATTTTGTGCATATTTTGTCAATTTTTTATGCATATTATAGTGCATATTTTGGATTTTTTAATGCATAAATATCCGGTCTCTAGCCATTACACTTAATAAAAAAATTTTTTTGTATTAAATTTTGTTAATAAATAAGCTTTTGTTTATTACGAAAATTTATTAATTAATTATCTCGATGAATAGTAAATAGTAACATTTATTCGCCATTAAAAGTTAGCACAAGAAAAAATGGAATCTAGCTCCTTGGGTTTAATTTTCAAATTTTTGATAATTTTGAGAATTTCGGAGCTCAAAAAGCCAAATTTCGTTGAAATTTTTTAAATTTTTCATTAAAAATTTTTGATAATACTGGAAGTTTAAAATCGTTCTCACGAAACTAAAAACGTAAATTAATTAAGAAATAAATCTCAAGCTTATTTTTCATTATTTTTTTTCAGCCCCATCCTTGTGCTTCATTGGATACAATGCCGCCAAGCGGAACACAAACTTGGGACACAAAACAAAACTTTATAAATCTGTAGTAAAAATAAGCATTATTTTATTTGACCTCAGTTTTATTATGTTTTTAATTAGCGCGATGTTAAAAATTTTTTTGTTTAGTTATTAAGCTTAATGTTTATAATACATACTTTAAAAATATTTATATTTTATTTCTTTTAATATTCAGCTACTAATTTAATTAATTTAAAAAATATTAATAATCGAATCAACAGTGATTAAATTTATTTTTCTTTTTCTTTAATTATTCCTCCTTTTCTTCTTTTAATAATCTTTTATTTTCATCTCCATCATCTTTTCCTTTAATTCTTCCTTCATTACATCATCCAACTCATTTTTCTCTTCATTTTTTAGCTCTTCCTTCGCAATATCGTCAACCTTGTTTTTCTTTCTCGATTCTTCCAGTTCCTCATTCCACAACATTTCAGCCTCATTCATGTTCAGCTTTCCTTCCTCCTCCTTTTTATTTTCTACCTTAAATATCTTTCTCTTTTTCCTCTCTTCATAAAGTTGATTATCAACAATAAATCTCTTTACTATCCCAGCTGCCTTGTAAATAACTTAAAAAATATTTTTATTTAAATTTAAAAATTATTTTCCCCACCATTAGAAGCCTGATTAATGCGGTCTAAAATCTCATCTACTTCCTTCTCACTACCCGAATAATACTTTAAAAGAAAACCCTCTGAAGAATTTAAATTATCTATTTCATCCTTCACAATAATATCAAGGTGTTTTAATTCTTCTACACTTTCAACATCAAAAAGGGAATATAAAACGTGTTGAATCTCTGTCGAACAATGTTCAGATACCCAATCTCTATAAAAGTTGATTTGCTCTTCTGCAAGACATAAGGCCATTAAAAATTCGTTTAACCGGTCACATTCATCAAGCACTATCTTTAGTTTGGCTGCTTCTTTCAGATCATTTATAATCTGTAATTTACAATATTTTAATTGTTACACTTTTCTACTAATTTATCTACACTTTTGTGTTTGTATTAGAAAATAAATACAAATGAATAAAATAACACAAATTGACATTTTTAAAATCGGGGTAATTTTTCTAGGGTTCAAAACTTTAGGAGCTATTAGTTCTACATATGTATGTTGGCACATTCAGGTTTACTCTGGTATTGGCTTTTAACGATGGTTCCTCTATTATATTCACATTCTATTAAAAAACCTCACACCAAATTATCAACAATTTTTTGAGTTAGCTTAATCATACTAGAGTTGCGCCCCGACCCCGTTCCCCGACACAACCGCCCCGAGCCTTCGGGGCCCAACCCTAAATCATACATAGAACCTTCTACAATTAGAACACAATTGATTCATTTTTTCCATTCCATGGACTACAGAAACATTTGTTTCCACAATAACCTCTAAAACCTGAAAATTTCTATCACAAACCTCTTTATCTTCGAGTTTTTCATCAATATTTAAATTTCCATTTTTAATCATATTTGCCACCATTTTCAAATTATTTTCTCTTTTAATCATTTCCCCCATCTCTCTATTTTCAAAAATTTCTTTATTTTTCTTCAATTCATCAAAAGGCAAAATTAGCATTTTTTGAACACGTCTACGTTTAGTTTTCCACTTTAACTGTCTTTCAACCAAAAAATTTATTTTATTTTCTAAATTATTTCGATTTTTAATTAATTCTTTTTTCGATACAAAATCTTGTTTTTCTTCTACCAATCCTTCACATTTTTTGTATTCTTCATCAGATTTTTTGGCACAGAAAATTTTATTGTTTCTGCAATGTTCACATTTTATTTTATTTTTTGGCAAATTATTAAATGCCAATTTATTATTTAATAATTTTGTTTGATTATTTGCCAATTTATTTTTTAAATTAATTGGGGGATGAGGAGAATAAATAGCTGAGGGAGTTTTCATTAAAGAGGATAATGTTGAATTATTAATTAATAAAATTAAAATAATAATTTCAATTAAAAAAATATTTATTAATTTAATATTACAACACATTTTTAATTTTACCCTGAAAATTTGAAAATCAAAAAAGAAAATCTTAGATATGTTGAATTATACTACATAATTTTAAAATACCCCTCAATTTGACTTAAGATACGTTTCAGAAATTTATTCGGGCATAGGGTGAGGAGCTACCCAGAGTACAGGCCCCATCAAAACGGAACTTAAACAAGATATAAACTTTTCGATAAGGTGTACTCGAGATTCTGAATCGATCTGTGAAGGTCTCTAGCTAGAGTCGAGACTCGAACTCGAGGGCTCGAAAGGTACAAAGTTGACCCAAGTATGTGGATGTGGTAAATATACTAACTATATACCACATACTACCCCCTATGTGGGTACTCATTTTGAAGGGCTCGCCGAGCTGAGTCTAAATATTCAGGTCTCGAGGTCGAGACTCGATCCTTATTCTTTTAGCAGTGGGGTTTAACTGTCTTTATGTATAATAATTAATAAATAGGTAATTCAAAAAATTTAATTTAAATTATTTTTCTGGCCCGTTTTATAGTAAATTTTAAAAGTTAATTATACTTATGTAAATTATTACTATTAATATTTTTCACTATATCGGAAGACTCTTGTATAAATTTGCCGAGAATTTAATTGGTTTTCGTTGAATTATTTTTTATTTCGTTGATATCTGTTTTGCATCAATTTTTTAAATAAAATAAAAAATTAAAGTGCATTTCTTAAATATGTATATTAAAAAATAATTTTAAGAGAAATTAAATGGTTATTTATTTAATAAATAAATTAAATGAGTTTTGAAATTTAAATAATTATTTAATTATTATTTGAATAAAAAATTTATTTTTTAAAAATATCCCACTGAAACTTCTAAAACTTTAAAAAATATATAACTAGTTTGCTAGAAGCTTCACAAAATTGACAAGACATTCACAATTATTTATAAAGAATATTTTTAATTAAAATGTTTAAATCAGGGTTCTCATCGACAAAATGCCCATTAAAAGTATCAAAATCTTGATTAAAAAGTATATAGGGAGAAAATTTGCAAATAAAAAGTATAGTCAAAATTAAATTAGAAAATATTTATTCGTGCTCAAATGTTTTATATTTCTCTCCTAAATTAATCTTTTTTAATAATTTCTTGTTTCTACTGACCATTTTGTGCATTTCAATGCACTTTTTTATGGCGCCAAAGGCGTCAAAATCTTCAATTTTTTGCGCCGCAGGCGAAAATTTTGAAAATTTTGGAGGTCCTTAAGCTAAATTTTTTCCATTTCTTGCGCCGCAGGCGAAAATTTTGAAAATTTCAAAGGCCGTAGGCCAAAAAAATTCACTTTTTTTGCCCAATGTCTTCCCCAATTTCATTTTCAATCCAAAATGTTAATTTAAAAGTAGATACTTTCAAAAAAGTATAAATTCAATTTCGTAAGCATTGAGGTCGATTTAAAAGTAGATTACTTTTAAAAAAGTATAAATGAGAACCCTGGTTTAAATTATCATTTATTCCTCTACATTTGAACAAAGGTGAGGCCAAAATGTTTTTAATATCCAAATAGTTCCATTATATAAATAAAATATATAAAATGAAAGCTAATTAAACATATAAAGCTGAATTGCATTTTATATTAATTAATAATTATTATTATTATTAAAGAATATCATTTTATTGTATAATTATATTTCAATCACTTCAATCACAATATTTTACCTTTGCTGGGGGAGGCGAATTATTTAAAGTAAAGTTTAAAAAAATTAAAATTTAATTATCTAATTTCAATTAAACTTTATTAAATATATTTTATGGAATTGTAGATTTAATTTTATGTAGAGATTCAACTTTAAAATTAATTATAAAGCATTTTTGAATTTAAAAAAAGTTTTGGTTATTCAAAGTGATCGAAATTCTTTTTTTTTTTATGAAAAATCAGCGTTTATACTACCACTAATCTCATTATCACTAACTAATAATAACATGCTTATTTTATAAATTTTTGCTTGTTTGACCAAAAAACCGTTTTCAAAACACCTTAAAGATTTGTTAATTTAATTCTCTGCGCTTAAGAGGGGCATTTAATTCATTAAATTCTAAAGGCATCAAGCATTAATCATTAGCAAATTCAGTCTCGAGAAGGGCAATCAATGTCCTTCTCGCAATCAAGTCTCTTAGCAGCATGATAGCAACTCGCGCGTTTCCGCCAGCATGGTTAAATTTCCTGCCTCTCTCGCTCTCTCTATAAAATAAATTTGCAAGCAATTGCTAGCCAATTTGCTAGCAAATTACCTTTATTAGCATTACTAGCAAGTGATTACTAGCAATAACACTCAATAATACGCTTGCTTAACCTCCCCAATAAAATGAGGGGTCTCTCGATTCTGCCCTCATAGTTAAAAAAATTTTTTTCCAATTCCTTACAAGCCCGCTATGTTTTTAAATGTCTTCACAATGTTTTTTATACTATTTGTTGCAACAATTAAAGCAACCGACTCGGATGTTTCGGATGTTTCTTCTGAAAAAACCTTAGTTGAAATCGTAAACCGTGATGGTATAAAAGTACAAGCAAAATTATCAAGAAATCAAGCACGTGCTGTTCTTGCTAAAAAAGAAGCTTTAGATAAAGAAATTAATTACAAAGGAGAATTTCCAAAATCCGAGGTAGGAAATACCCATCAATTAAACAGGGTATTTACATAAGTTGCAGTAGAATCTCAAGGACTGAAGTTTATGATTATTCTCCGTAAATTAACAATCATGATTGAAAATACCCAACCCTCACTAGTTGAGCCCAAAATAAAAAATCAAAACAATCCTTAAGGGTTCGAAAACATTTTTAAATAACCTTACTCCCTAATATGCTAGGGGACTTGGATAGCTTATAAAATTTATTAAATAAATACTTATTATAGAAAGATGGCTACAATTCTGAAGATAGTGTTACTTCACCACTTGGCAAAAGAAACTCTAAGAGAAAGAGTAACGGAGGAGGCACTTCATCTAAAAAGGCAAATAACAAAGGTAATAAGAAGTGCCGTGTTTTAGACAAATTTTCTATTTTTTCATCCTTTTTTTCAAATTTTATCATAAAACTTAATTTTCGACTTAAGATGAGTAAAAAAACTAATGACTTTTTTGGTATATTATTTTTTCCGTAAATTATTTTTCTCCGTTATGGATACAAGTGTTCGAAAAATTCCCAAACAATTCTATCTTAGTATTTTTACCATGATTCCGACTTGCGTAGGGGATCGGGGTTTGTCGGGGTGGAGGCTTCGGGGTTCGGGTCGGGGTTTTTGCCAAAAAATTGTCGGAGTAGGGTGTTATATGATTCTTTTAGATTCGATCCTTAGGGTTTTCATTTATTTTTAGGGTACTCGTTTGTTTGAATTTTTCTTGTCTATACTCCAATATAATACTCCAAAAACTTTTCCCACAAAACTTTTCTATTTAGGCAGAAATCAGCAAGTTTGATAGATGCCATTTCAACGTATTTTCGAACCGATGTAGTGAAAGATAAGAATTTGATGAAATGCATCGGAGGATTTTTTTACATTTCGAGTTTATATTAAAATTGTGATATTTAATTCTCGATTTTAGTTTATTAGATAAATTTAAAAAATTATATTTTATATTAGTAAAAAATATTTTCAGACTAGATTTTTCAGATATTAAAAGGGTTATTGTTTTAATTTTATTGAACTAATCAGTGTGTGTAATTTACCGGAAATGGCCAGAAAAAACTAAAACATTTTTTAACTCAAATGGTCATTACCTCCATTTAGGTCCCAAATAATTCTACAAATCGAATAAATTAAGTTGAGGAAATATTTTTTATAAGTATTACATAAGAAAATGATTATGACAAAATGTTTTTTACCCTAACTTCCAGAGTTTAAACGGAGTCGAATGCTAAAAGATAACTCTTATTATGTTGAATTATTGCTGGCTGTTTAAGACATTTAAGGCTAGGATTTTTCACAATATTTTTTATTATTTTCTTAATTTTCCCACATTATAATCCCGGTTCAAAACTAATTTTTTGAGTTTGTTTGTTTTTACAATGTTTTGTAAAAAATTTTTTACAACTTTAATAATGGACTTTATCTACAAATTAATTTTAAGAATAATATTTCTCGAATTTATTAAATACAAAACTTAATTTATTTACAAAATATGATTTTTAATTATAATTAAAATAAATATATCTTTCCATTATACATTTGAAAATAATAATAAATTAAAATTTTATTTAATAATAATTTACTCCAATTAAACTCTTTTGCAATTTACTCTGTAGAAGATTTAAATTTTTTATTATTTATTTCATTAAAATTTAAAATAATGTTAACTACTATTAGTGTATTAAGAAACTATAACCCCATCCTAATTTTTTCTGGATCCTAGTTTCCAGTTGTCCAATTAATCTGAAATTTTTATAGGATGTTTGACAACATTTTTGGACATTATACCTGAAAAATCTTGAAAAATCTGGCTCTATCTGTTTTTATCGAGTTTTCTCCCAAAAGTGGGTAACGGTAAATATAGAAGATAAAAATCCTATAAAACTTATTAAACAACTCCTTTATATATTTTTATAAATATTTTTTCTCTAATTTAATTTTTAAAGATTTATAGTCTGTTAAAATTCGATTTTAAATCAATTTGGCAATTTTTTAATAGAGAGGATGTAAGAAGAGGCAAGGGCAATTAGTCAATAGAAGTCTGCCGCATCTTCTTGGGGTAGACATGCGTGCCTGCTTCACCTGTAAAATTTATTTATGTTTATTTTAAAATAATCCGCAAATTCTTGTTTAAAGTTTTAAATTATTAGGGTTTTAAGGCATAATTTTGCAACATTATATGGTATACATATTTGTAAAAAACGTCTTCGGGTGAAAAGATATTAAAATATCCGATTTATAATTCTAAAATGAATATTAAATAATAGGCAAAATTAATTTACAGCTTTTTAAATTTAATAATGCGAACAAATATGGGAGGGGAGGGGGAGGAATTTGTCGTTCGATAGCTACCCACTCTTCATTAGCTGCCCTCCTTCATTAGCTACCCTCACAATTAGCTACCCTTTCTTTATTAGCTACACTCAATTCACTCCATAATAATTTTTGTTCAGAAAGAAAGCTAATAATTTATTTTATATAATTAATATTTAAAATTTTGAATTAAAAAATTTAATTTTTAATTTTCAATTTTAAAATTACTTTTAAATTATTTAGAAAACATTGAAAATATTCTTAAAATGAATTCCTTAAAAATGCTTGTCATTTTTGGTTTTGTTTTCCTTTATCTTGCTGAAATTCAAGTAGGAATTCAAGCTATGAAGAAAAATGAAGGTAGTATAGACTTCTATTATTCTAAATAATTTTTTCCTCAAATCCTTTTAACCCCAGTAGTCTATTAAAATTTGATATTCCAGCACTGGATCTCGTAGAATCGTGTAAAGTATTTAGTAACCAGAATTATTAATCTAAAACTTTTATTATTTTAAGCATTCTTTTATTATTATTTAAATTAAAAATTTAGATGAACATAAAATACAAGACGCGCAACCATCCAATTCATTCCCTAAATTTGAAGACAGTCATCAACCAAGTAAAGAGAAAAAGACATCGAACGAGCCATCGCTCGCTCCTCTACCGTCAGAGCGCCCAAAATACCCTCACCGTAATATATTTACATTAAAGAAATATATTTTTAAATAAATAAAAATTTAGATAGCAACCAGGGAAGCAAGACCAAACATTGAAAATTAAGGTTTGAAAATATACTAAAATTGATAAAATATAAAGTTATTCTCAATGTAATATTTTTAAAAGTATTTTTTTAAATTTCAATTGAATTTTAAGAAATTTAGGGTTCAAAATTTGAAAAAAAAAACAACCAAATGATCGATGAGTAACTAGATGAGTATATACGTTTTACTAAACTTTTAAATTTGATGGATCAAAAAAAATCAAAAAATACATTTTAGTATTTCAAGTATATTTTTTAAATCGAAATTTATTTTAACATTCTGTTTATATTCCACTTATTTTGATAAAAGTTAAAAAAAACCAGTTGAAATTATTTTTAATAGAATATTGTATTACGCAGATAGGAAATTATTGTGATTCTGGTCATATTAAAGAATTGACGGCTCCTCTATATTCCAGATATTTCAAAAGTTATGTAGACTTCCAGGGAACGGCTTCCAAGTACGATAGAGAAATTTCTGTTTTACTTGTCGGTTGACAAGATACAACAGAAACAACGGCGAATTATGCTATGATTTTTGTATTTATCCTTAAAGAAAAATACGTTTCTTTTCCATTCTTTCCATACTGGATGGGAAAAAAGTTCAATTGAATCCAATTCCCGAATGTTTTCCTTGCTTAAAAAGGAGAAATAATGCCAAGATTTTTCCTTCCCTCAAATTCACTTAATTTTTCCTTTAATAAGTTCGTTCATATGAGAGACCCGCCAGAGCTGTACAGGAGCCGGAGCCGTCATTTGAATATGCTAAAGGAAAATTTAAGTGAAGTTGAGGGAAGGAAAAATTTTTGACTTTATTTCTCCTTTTTTTTGGAAAATAACTTGGGACAAAATTTAAAATTACTTAAAAATAGGTAAAACTTAAAAAGTAGGTTAAAATAGGTGACAAAAGTCCTAAAATATGTTGTAAAAAATCGGCACAACGGGGAAAACAGGCAAAAATGCCGTATAATTTTTATTTTCCAGTTTACAAATTTCCTCGGCAAAGAACAATGATAAAACCACATGACCAAATTTTACCATCATTTTTTTAATCTTAAACCAAAATTCTAAATTGAAATTTATAAAACAATGGATAAGAAAAAATACATACATTTTATTTAACTCTCTTTTTAATCCTCTTTAACATTTAAACAACTATAAAAAAATGGAGGCAACTTTTGTTCCTTATTTAATTCCTGTATTGTTTCGTCACTTGGAAATTGTTTTTTTATTAATTCCTGTAAATTATATATTAATACATATTAATTAAAAATTTTTAATTGAAATTAATATTTTTAGAGTAAAATTTATAGTAGTTAAACTGGATGTTTTTCGAATTTACTATTAACTTTAAGACTTAAAATTCATTCTTGAACTTTCCCAAGCATAATATTTTTATAACATCTAATAAATTTAAGTACAGGGACAGTATTCCGATCTTTCTATTCCGGTCTTTACAACTGCTCTATCAAACGAGCAGTTGTCTCTTTTATATATCCTAAAAGCTAGCTGGATCTCCTTTACACCAATTAAAATATTTTATTTTTGACAGTTGTATAGTAAAGCAGCTGGGCTATAGCTATTTCTCTCCTTTAGAAAATTTAGAAGGTTAATCGGGGCTGGGAGCGAACCAGCCTCTTCAGTAGACCCGACTGACGTGTTAGCCATTACACCACACCGCCTACTGCACAGCCTTAGGAATTAAATAGCTATATGCTTTACAGTATGTCTTGCTTTAAAATACTCCGAATTTTAAATAAATTTGATTTTTCTGCATCAAAGTGTGTCTAAAATTGAGATAGTAAACAGACTAAATATCTTCAATTTTTATTTAAAAATTTATTATTATACTTCAAATATATTCATATCCCTTCCTGCCCGTGTAGTAAACAAAATAGCATTAAATAAAAACATTAAATCAGAATATCTTTTAACTCCTTCCAAATCTCCTTTATTTAATTGTAAATATTTTAATAATATTTTTGAATAAAATTCTGCCCAAGTTTTCATTTGAATTTTACCTTGTGAAGATATATTTGGAATATCTAAATATTTAAATAATTAAATATAGTGTATTTATTAATTACCCCAAATACAAATAAAAATAGATCGTAAAATTACAAATTCATTTTGATTTACATTTAATTGCTTTAATGTTTGCATTAAGCTACTACTAAACGTCTTTCTTTTAAGATGTTCAAATCTTAAAATAAATTTGATTTTAATAATATTGTTAATAATTATTAAATTTTTTATAATAAAAATTTTTCTTATGATAAACACTTGGCCATCTCACTCCCCAGATATGAAGGCTATGGATTATCAGTTTGGTCATTATTAGAGCAGAGACTTTCACGGATATGATTTACCTCAACAGAGACACTTAAGAGGGATTAAAACCGGCATGGAACTCAATTACTGTCGATGAGTGCGCGACCATAGTGGGCAAGTTCAGTAAGCGTTTGGACGGTTTTATCTTGGCGGTGGGAGGATATTTTGAACATTTGTTATAATTTTTCTTTTCTTCACATACATATTCATGATCACCTTTTCATAGATTTTATAAAATTTAAGAAAATCTTTTGAAATAAAATTTTTGCTTAATAAAAATACGGGAACTTTTGCTGCACCCTGTATTTTACTAATAATATTTAATATAATTTTTAATAAATTTATTTATTAAATTAAAATATATTAAATTATTTAAATAAATAAATTGGGTATTATTTTAATTTAATGAAAAAAACAAACGTTTTTAAAATAATTGAAGTATTATTTCCATCTCTCATTTTAATTTTATTAATTTTATTATTTAAGAATAAAATTGGTGTTGAATTATTTGGAAATGTTAATGTTTCTGCATTTTGCAAATTTGAATAATAATTAGAATCTAATATTCGAATCATTTGAGAAGCAGTTGAAAGTAAATATTTCTGTAAAAATACACCTTATGTATGGGGTTGAAACAAACAGTCATAAACTAGGGCTCCCATTTAAATGTATAAAACCAAAAAATAGTGACATAAAACATGGATATAAAATCTTGAAATATGGATATAAATATGGAGATAAACATTAAATATGGATATAAAATCCTGAAATACGGATCAAAAAATAGATAAGGATATTTTAAAATCAGTATTTTATGTAGTTCATGCATATTATAGCTCATTTAGACGAACTCGCCAAGCCCGGGGTTAATCCAGTTACCGTAAATATCCTAATATAAGGCCTGGGCTTATATTTTTCAATACCCCCATCGGTGGTTTGATCAGAATATTGGGGGAAAAATTTTCTAAAATAGAAATTCCGAGGCAACCCTACTACCAGCTTGATGTTCTTAATGAAGTAAGCTAAGAGTTATCTAAGAGAATTATCTAAGAAAGGTTAATTTATCTAAGAGAGGTTAGATAGAAATGTAATTTTTTAATTCAAAGAAATAAAAATATTCTTTATGAAATTTAAATTTTAAAGTAAATAAGTAAGTACCTTATCAGAAATACTTAATTCTTCATAAAAAGGCATAGTACGTATTAATTCAATTGATAAATATAAATTCCTTTAAATGATGAATTTGGATATTTGAATATAAAAATAACAAACATAAAATAATAGCTGGGTCTTTGTTTATTTATATTTCGTCCTTCCTTTAAATCCTCGATTTCAGTTGAATCTACTGAAGGAGGTGGGCCGGGCTATAATAAAATTGTTAGTTTTAGTTAAGGACTTTGTTAACTGCAGAGCTTGATATACATACATAACTTTATTACACATTTTCATAAATAAAATGAAGGATTGCATCTGGGATTCTATACATAAGTTCAAGCTATGTAGGTTATATGGATAGTCCAGGTCGCATTTTAAAAAGCGGAAGTCTAGACAGCCCATCCGTCTAAATTTGTTATTTAAAGATGAATAGTGGATCTACTAGAGATTTGGACGGTTAAACGGAAAATATAAATTTCAAATATATGTAGATCCAATTCACGTAAATCGTGAATATCTGCGATATGCCTGATATATGTATGTATATGTGTAAAATAATATTTTCAATTTAAATTACCTCAAATTTTTCATACAAATTTAATAAATTTGTATAAGATTCATCTAAAAAATCCTCCAATTTTCTTTTAAACAACAATTCAATAGAGATTCCATGACGCGAATTTCTAATATAATTTTTTTTGTTTTCAACATTAATTAATTCAGATAATATTTTTGATATTTCAGAATTTTTGTTTATTATTGGCTGAGATAATTTCTAAGAAAATAGATTAATTAACACAAATAAAAAATAAGTAAAAATTCAAAAATTTAAAAATAAATTGTTTTATTATTTAATTTTAATTCATATACACACCCCTTAGTTTTTAAGTGAAAAACATATTTAAGCTTAAAGTATCATAATTTTAAATATTTTTACAAATTTCTTTTGTTTACGAAATTCTTCGTTTCTTTTGTATTTTCAATTGGCATCGCTAGATATGCTTACCAAAATTTATATAGATTTCCTCAACGGCCCCTAGTGCCAAAGCTTAAGGGGTGCTTATAATTATCTGACAGTCATTTTTAGGATACATGAGTTATATTACCACTGCCCATAAATAATTTATATTTGATTGTTTTTTTCTTCTGAATATGAATTAGAAATTCGTAAAAATATATAAAATTATGATACTTTAAGCTTACATACATATACCTATATGTTTTTTACTTAAAAACTTGATTTTTGGCTGATTTTTTATTTTAAAATATATTTTTAAAACAAAATTTCCATGTCTTCTTACAACCTTACTAAATATTTTTAATATTAAATAATTTTTATAAATTATAATTAATTAGATATTACCGTAATATTATTCTTCAAGTCATTCAGTTTATTATTTTGAGAAATTTGACAACTATTATTTTCTTTTTTTAATTTTCTATATAAAGCTAATTGTTGTATTAGTAATTTATCCATGCCAACATTTAAACATTTGGATAATCGACAAGCACGACATTTAATTCCTTTTATTTTTAATTAATAAAGCCCGGATTTATAGGCAAATGCTATTTTTCTGCAAGCTTGGCATAATGTAATACGTTCAAAAAACGTTTTTAGCTTGGTTCATAGATTCTAGCATGAGACTTTAATTATGCCTATTTTCTAATTTTTGATACTATTTTTTGCCTTTTTAGCGAATTTTTTTCTAAATTTTGCCTAAAAATCAGAGCAAAATCTAAAAAACTCAGTCCCAGCTTTAAAAGATCAGTGCCAAGTCCCATTTTTAATTTTAGTATTTCACTCAATTTTATGATAATTTGGATTGCGTAAATTTGCGTGTTTTTTGACCTGCGAATTGCGGTAGCGAAAAATCTTTTTAAATTGCGCCCGGTCCTGTTTAGGGCTTATTATCAAATGATTACTTATGGTATTCTTCATACTTTGCTAAAATAATTTTTTGATTTAAGTTTAAGAAAGGGTTAATTATTCAAGCATATACGGTATATAATTTATTTTTGAAAACAAAATTTCTAACCATTTTCAACCATACATTTCGAATTTTTTAAACAAGTATATGTTCTATTTTCAACAATTGAACGTCGAAAAAAGTTTTTACATCCTTAAAATAAATAAAATTTTTAAAATTTCCACCCAACCATAGCAACTGGGAACATTATAATGATAAAAAGATGCGTTCTTCTCGCAAACGGCACATTTATTTGGTTTACTAAATTTATTTGGAATATTTAAATTTAATGATGCCATTTAATTAATAAAATAATTTTTTATTAAAGTTCCGTTTTCCGAGCTGTTTCTTGAAATAAAAAGTAATTGAAATAAATTTATTAACCAACTTTTCTCATATATAAAAATTTTAATTAATTTTCACATTACATTTTTCTGATAATGTAATAACTTTTAGAGAAAACTTCATAATACATAAATCAGAATAATAAATTTACAATAAAATTAAAATATTTTATCACTTTTTAATATTTTTTCTTCGCAATAAACCTGTTCTATATACATATTTATAACAGAAATAAAATGATTAATGTTCAATTTTTATTTAACAAAATTCTTTGAAAAGTAATTTTTATAAGAATTGGGGGGGGGGGGGTTTACTTAAAGTAATTAAAGAATTAATTTAAAATTCTTTAAAAATTGATTAATTTTCTCCTGAATAAAGATTTAATTTTAAAACTATTAGAGGAATTTTGTGAAAGATCACGATACTTGAATTGTAAATATAATTTTCGAAATAATTTTAATACATATACCTATTTTAATTAATTGATTAAAAAATTGACGAAGAATTTCATCTGTTTTTTTTAAATTTTATAAACTTAACCCTTTCGATAATTTTTATATTTAAGAAAATCTTCTTACTTTTGTGGCATTCTATTGGTAATGTTCTTGTTAATAATGTACATAGGTATATCTAGCTCTGCAGTTAACAAAGTCCTTAACTAAAACTAACAATTTTATTATAGCCCGGCCCACCTCCTTCAGTAGATTCAACTGAAATCGAGGATTTAAAGGAAGGACGAAATCTAAATAAACATAAACCCAGCTATTTTTTATGTTTGTTAATTTTATATTCAAATATTCAATGCTACTTGTAATAAAATATTCAATAGTTACTTAAATTACTTACTTTTTTATTATATTAGCAACCCCGTTATGGCCACGCGACCTTTTGGGTGTTCCATATTTGAAGGAAAAAATGATTAGCATTAAAAAAAGAGGAACTCAAACAGGAGTGGGGGACAGGATATGAACAAAGACCAAAATTTTTATCGTAAAATAATCGATGGAAAATTTTTTTTGAAAAATACGAAAAAAGCCCAAATCCGGTCCGGAATCCAGGTAAATTCAGACGGACTCCGGAAATTATTTTTACCGGTATAATTAAAGTGTAAGGATCGAACTATTTAAATATACCTATGTATGTCAGGGATGTCACGGGTTGAGAAAAATGTCGGGTCGGGTTTCGGGTCGGGTTTTCAAAATTTTCTTCGGATCGGGTTTCGGGTTGGGCAAAAAGTCGGGTCGGGTTTCGGATCGGGTTTTCGGAATTTTTTTCGGATCGGGTTTCGGGTCGGAGAAAAGTCCGGGTTTCGGGTATCGGGTCGGGTCAGTAAAAACCTATATTGAAAAATTTTATTCATCAATATTAAAACTAATAAAAAAAATCATAAAGTGGCAAATTATGATGTAAAAAAAGCAATTTTTCCAAATTCTCTCCTGTCATCCTGTTTCTCAATTCAGTTAATGTAATTCCTGCTGTTGAAAACAATCTTTCTGATTCTTGTGACCCAACAGGTGTAGAACTGAATTTCCTGAAAAGTCGTTAAATAGATCTTTATCCATTTAAAAAACCTAAATAAACCCGTCAATCGCTTCCATTTTTCTGAATTAGTTTTCCAAAAAATAAATGGATCAACGATGCTTCTTGGCTCGTTTAAATAAGTATTAACTTCTTGCTTAATGAGTTCACCTTCATCTGGGTCTTGAAAAATTGGTTCTATATTATCGTTTGAATTTTCCTAATATTGATTTATTTAATTTTATAAAGTAAAAAATTGAAACCTGCACAAACTCCTCTAATAAATTTATGACAGGATTTGAGTTTTGCGTTGAACAAGATACTTCGACCTCTTGTTCCAAAAAATTAAAGTTATTCTCACAAGTTGGGTTCAATTCATCAAATATCCATCTCTTATAAATATCTCGCATTTCTCTATCAAAAATAGCATTTTATAATTCGGGTCCAAAATTGTAGGTATTATCAATTTCCTTAAATTTTTGATAAATTTTTAGTAAAATGAATAAACTTTTTCAACTCCCAGCCTGACATTCTACTCTCAAGACCATCTGCTACTCGACTCGAAAAAGCCGTAGAAAAACTTTTCAATTTTTTTAAAAGGCTGCGATAAATGGGTACAATTGATGAAATTGTTGTTCTTCTTTTTTTCAATTCTTTTGTAATAAAAAAAATTGGCTTAAGCTGGTTCACCATTGTTTCAATAAGTTCCCAATCAACATCTTAATTTGTTTTCAATAATTATTAACCTTCAAATATTTATTAACCTGAAAAAGCTGCCAATTCTTTTCCTCCTCCTTTGTAGTTACTTATAAATAAATCAATTGCTCGCTTATTTTCCACAAATCTTTCGCACATTTGAAACAAGGAGTTCCATCTTAATTTAAAAATTAAATCTTAGTTTTAAAATCTTAATCAACTACCTAACATCAGTAGATTTAATCAATATATGCTCAGGTAAATCTAATTCTTTCTGCAAATTTTGAAAATATTCTCTTTGAATTGTTGATTTTCTGATTTTGCGAATTATTTTTTTCATTCTCTCTACTAAAAAATTAAAATCCGCATATATTTTTATCCCATCAGAGACTGCCTAATATAATGACCAGTTACAGATAAGAGTGAAAGTGTTGCCTGAGTTGAAGTCCAAATATCTGTTGTGATTGATATAAAATTTTGAGCATTTATATTCTTTTTTACACGCTCAAATAATCCATTATAAGCTTCGTCTACTTCTTTTACGTAGAAATTTCTTGTTCTTAAATTTAAAAAAATACAATAAATGACATAAAACATACTTAATTGCATAATTTGGTGCTAAAAATTTCAAAAGACGTTGAAATCCTAATTTTTCACATGTACGAAATGGCATAATATCAACTGAAATCATCTCGGCTATAATTCTATCGAGCTTTTTTGTTTTTGGACCATTAGTACTCCATTGATCTGAATTCGAAATAATTTTGAAATTATAGAAAATTATACTAAAAGACCACTACAGTTTGATCCCCTGAAATTTTTCTTTTCTTTTCCGACGGTTCCAAAGTAGATGAATTTAAAGAAGCAAACTCTGTTATTTTTGGAATAGAAGAAATTGCATCTATTTTCTTCTTTTTTAATGCATCTACTGCATTCTTTCGATTTTTTTCTTGTTCTTTGTGTTTATTCTCCAGATGCCTAATCAAATTTCCTGTTGATTTTGTTGAATCTTGTTTGAAAATTGAGGTGCAAAATTTGCAACGAATAACGCCCGAATTGGGTCGATGAAAATAAAACCAAATAGAATCAGAACTCTGACATTTATAAATTTAATGCACTAAAAATTTATTGACTATAACAATACTTTATTGGTTATTTTTACATATATTTAATATGATTTAAGAAATAATTTATTAACATTATGCCAATTTAGCCTGAATTTAAAATTAATTGACTAAAAACTCGGGTCGGGTTTCGGGTCGGGTTTTGAAAAATAAAAATTCTCGGGTCGGGTTTCGGGTCGGGTTTTAAAAAATTTCTCGGATCGGGTTTCGGGTATCGGGTCGAAAAAAAGGCCGGGTTTCGGGTTTCGGGTATCGGGTTTCGGGTAACCCGTGACATCCCTGATGTATGTATATGAGAAATGGGGCAAAATAGATAAAAAAGTTAAATGAATAGAGTGCGTCTATAGCAGAGGTGTTTCGAAACAAAAAAAGTTTCGAAAATCGGAAATCGAAAATCGAAAGAAATCCAAAAATATCGAAATCGAAAATCGAAAATATTTTTCAAAATCTTCGAAATCGAAAATCGAAAGAAAAATAACCTCGAAAAACGAAAATCGAAAAACGAAAATCGAAAAAAATTTTTAATAAAAGTAAATTGAAAAATAAATTTTTGTTATGTTGGAACTTTTGCTTGAACTCTAAGGAATTGGGGAAAACTAATGACTAGAATCGGAGATCCATGGAGATCATGGATATCCAAGCCCAAAATTTTGCATATTCGAATATACGGCTCCGGCTCCGACCTATTCAAATCTTGGTCCTATGCCGGTGAATTTCTGAGCCGTTTTGTCTCCAGATTAAGAGGGATTAAGAAAGAGATCTAATCCTCCATCATTAAGAGAGATAATGGAGGATTTGAGTAAAATCCCCTGAATATAGTAAAGCAGAGCTAGGCCGCTTTGCTCATAAGGTGGGACCACCTTAATTCAAGCAAA